AATATTGTGAAAAGGATGCATTTATGTGTTCAGAGTGATGGTAATCATTTTGAGCATTTGTTGTAACTCAAAATATATGAAGTGAAACTTAAGAGAATATACTATCTTTCTATAAAAAAGAAACAATTTAATTGCTTGTATTGTATAGGAGATATTAATGAAAACTTTCCATACGGACTTTTGGGACACCCTGTACTTAGATGGCCAAAGGTGATAGAAAAACGAATTGCTTCTAATATGTAAAAATGCGCAATTCCGTCGGCTAGAACAAATGAATAGGGTGTCGTGTTAAGTACTATGTAATGTTTAAGACAAGGTAATAAATTATAAATTCTCGTGAATAAATGTTGCGGTTGCTCCAGTGTCGATCAAAATCCTAGTGGGATATTCATTGACAAATGTGGAAAAATAGATTAAAGGAGATTTCGATGGGTTTGTAGTAATTTTCCCGGAAACAACACCATCGAGTGAAGTCTCCGGAACTAGAAACTTGGACATGTAGAAACATCATGTCCAATCTGATTACATTGGCAGTAGATTGGCTAGGAGATGGAGTAGCTAAACGATTCATATTAGGTGGCAAAACTTTCGGACGAGTATTGAGTGGTGGAATACTCGTCATATTTTTTTGTTGAGATGTTTGTGGATCAAAATGTGAACAAGGTTAAGACTGAGATGATGAAATGGGCGGAGCGTACGAATTACGCGGGGAAAATGAAGTGTTACGGTTATTGGAGAAGCGTGAATTTCGATAGAAATTTGCGGAAGAGTGTGGTGAATAACCACTAGAGGTGCCAGAAAACGATTGGGTATTCAATGACGAGGATGCATAGGATGCTGACGAGTTCGACTAGGAGACACATCTGTGTAAGTAGAAAGATCCTGTGACGATACATTAGAAAGCTGCACGAGTTCTTCAGCCTCTTTCGCGTATTCTAAAAATTCGAGTGTATTATTAGGTGTTTTCTTGCGAACCTCATATTGAATGCTGGGTTTCGTTTTATTCAAAAGATTCTTTAATTTCGTTCCTTCGCTCATCGTAGGATCTGCTTCCTTACACAACTTTAACACATCATTGAAGAAAGTGCGGATCGATTGATTTTGACCCTGAGCATATGATTCTAGTTTTTTTAATGCGATTTCTTCATGAAAATTTGAAGTGAAAGCTTTTTTAAGCTGGAAACGAAAATTTCCCAAGTAGTGAACGATAATCGATTGGTTTTGTACCACTCGAGTGCATCGCCACGTAACGAATATGATATCAAATCAAGTCGAGTGTTAGAAGGAATATGTGCGATTTCTAAAAGATGTTCAATATCTTCTAACCACTTTTTAACGTCATCTTTCCCTCCTCTGAACGTTTTAGGATTTTTTATGAGATTACCAACAATAGCTTTACGAAGATCACTAAGGGCTGGATCTATTTGTGTTGATGATGAATTAAGGGTAGATGAATAATTCATAAAGTTTACAGGCAATAATTTTAATAAGTTAATTAATTAGTTTAACAGCAGATTTAAATTTCATTCTAATTCCTATTTATTTGACTAATGTGAAGCTTTTCGAAACATTTCGTTTCATCGTCAGACAAGATCGAATTAACAAAGAATACATAAACATATATATATATATATATAAGTAGAAGATCAGATCAGATAGGTGCCTTATCTGTTACAGATGTTGGCTAACATGATGCGCCAATTCTTCCGATCGTGTGCTGCGTGAAGAAAGTCTATTTTCGCGTAACCCCGTTTTTCAATCCAAAGGTTTACGTTTTCTAGATATTTGATTCTAGGTCGGCCTTTATCTTTCTTTCCATTGATTTTTCCACTCAATACCAGATGTTCTATACAATCTTTACGGATTATGTGGCCAAGGAATTTTAGTTGCCTATAACGGATGGTATTGATTAAAAATCTTTTCGATTTCGTTCTTTTCTATATTGACTCGTTTGTTTCTCTGACAGTCCAAGGTACATTGAGCATTCTTCTGAGAAACCACATCTCAGTAGCCTCTAAGCGTTTTTCCATTTCTTTACTGATTGCCCAACATTCGGAGCCGTATAACAGAATCGACCAAACGTAACACCTGAGTACTCTTGTTTTAGTGTCGATCGATATGGTTCTATTCTTCAGAACTGGACTCATCTTTTGGAACGCTTGTTTAGAGAGGGCTATTCTCATTTTGATGTCTTCATCGCATCTACCATCTGAAGTTATGATGGATCCCAAATAGTGGAAACGATTTACTTGCTTGATTGGTTCTCTATTTATGTAAACTTCGCATGTCGGTATGATTTTATTCTTCGAAACACACATACATTCTGTTTTTTTGGTATTGAGTGACAGTCCCATTTCTTTGCTTTTGTTTGAGACTATATCAATCATTTTCTGTAGATCTTGTTCATTACTTGCCATTAATACGGTGTCATCTGCGTATCTTATATTGTTACAATTTTTACCTCCAATTTTTATTCCTTCAACATCTTCTAGATTTCTAAGTATCATTTCACTATATATGTTGAAAAGATCTGGAGATAGAACACAGCCTTGTCTGACACCTCTCCTTATACCTGTATAGTCACTGGTATCATTATTTATTCGTATGGCAGCTTTTTGATCCCAATAGATATTTCGAATTATTCCTAGATCTTTGCCATCTATATCGAGTTTTTCCAAAATTTGGAATCGATTATCGTGTTTCACTTTATCAAAAGCTTTTGTGTAGTCAAGGAAACATAGGTATAGGTCATGTTTGACTTCAATTGATCGTTCGATTATCATTCGAAGGATAAATATTGTATTTCTAGTGCCCTTATCAGGCATAAACCCATATTGTGCTTTTGCTATTTCTGGCGTGATCTTATTTTTCATACGCATCATCAGAATCTTAAGCAAAACTTTTGTGGTATGACTCATGAGACTAATTGTGCGATGTAATTCACATTCAGTAGCTCCAGGTTTCTTTGGAAGTGCTATGAATATTGATTTTGTTAGATCTTCCGGAATTTCACCTGTGTCATATATTTTGTTTATCAGTTTTGTCATGACCTTTACACCTAATTCATCGAGACAATGAATCATTTCGATGGATATTCCATCTGGCCCGGTCGCTTTGTTTGTTTTCATTGATTTTATGGCCAGTCTTACTTCATCTGTCATTATCAGAGGTCCCTCTATATTTTTCTTTATGTTAGGCCTAGAAGCTCTGTTATCATCAAAGAGTTCCTCTATGTATTCTGACCACCTGTTCAGTATGTCACTTTTTTCCATTAGAACGGTTCCATTCTTTGATTTGATACAACCTGAACTGGTGCATCTCGATTTTCCTGTTATTTCGTTGATCTTTTGATGAGCGAATTTGGTGTTTACGCTCAACTTATTTTCGATCTCTGAACATTGTTCGTTCAGCCATTTCTCTTTTGCCTCCGAACATTTCTTTTTGATTGATTTATCTATCAATTGGTATTCGTGGAGATTTGACTTCTTCAGTCATCTTTGTTCCATTAGTTGTGGAATTTCGTTTGTCATCCATCTTTTCTTTTTCGTTGCTTGAGTTTTAGGAATTATTTCTTCAGCAGATATTAATATAGATGATTTCATCTGTTCCCACAATAACTCGGTTTCTGTGATTTGATCTAGTGCTTCAAAACGATTCTGTACTTTTATGCGAAATTTTTCTTGTAGGTCTAGATCAGTTTTCATAATATGAATTTGAAGCTTCATATTTTTCTGTTGCTGTTTTATTCTCTTTAGTTTTACTCGAATTTTGCTGATGACTGGGACATGATCGCTACCGCAGTCCGCTCCAGGAAATGCTTTTGAGAAAAGGATTGAATTCCTGAATCTATAAGGGACCATGATATAATCTATCTGATTTCTTGCTCGGTCTCCTGGGCTTCGCCATGTCCATAGTCTACGTGGGTGATTTTTGAACCATGTGTTTGTGATTACGAGATTATGTGATTGGTACCAGGTTATTAGGTTGTCTCCTCTTTCATTTTTGTCTCCTAGACCGAAAGGTCCTACTGTATTGCCAATTCTCTTATCTCCTACTTTTGCGTTGAAATCACCCATTGCGTAAATGATATCATCAGATTTGCATTGTTTGTAGGCTTTGTCTAGATCTTCATAGAAGCCCGTGATTGTGTCATCGTCATAATCGGCTATGGGTGCGTAATACTGAATTAGAGAAGTGTTGAAGGGTTTGCTGTGGAGTTTTACGAGCAGAACCCTGTCTGAAACCGCCCAAAAGCCTTGCAAACTCTTGGAGGTTTCTTTGTCAAGGAGCATTCCTACTCCTCTCTCGTGTTTGTGTCCTCCAGAGTATACTAAAAGAAAGTTATCCGTTGTAAAAGATCCAACACCCAGCCATCTAACTTCAGATAGGCCTAATGCATTTATTTTCATCCGTTCCATTTCCTTCTTTATATTGTCTAATTTTCCTTTCTGGAACATAGTTCTTACATTCCATGTTCCTATTTGGAGTGAGTTTTTGATTGGGACAGTAATCTGTTGACGATCGAGGGTCACCTGTCGTACATGACCACCTCTACCGAGCGAGTTGTTCTCTCTGAGAACCCCCTTCACGCTGTTATCTTGACTGGAATTATTGACGTTTATCATGTTTTGCTTGGGAGTGTACAGCGGTGGTTTCCCCTTGCCTTCCGCCGGTTTGGGATGGTTTTCTCCATTTGATGAATTTGCTAGTCCTGGCTAGCGAGCTCCATCGACTCAGGATAAGGCTTATGAAATCTCGGTTCGAGAGGAACCTTGTTTCTGGCGGCCTATATTCGCCCTATCGTCCTGTCGTCTTTGGGTTTCTGTGACATTTTATAAGAGTTTTGGTTCCAGTCAAAACCCCACCACACCCTGCTGACAAGAAGGCTGAGTATTGTCCGGGACTGTTTATTTGATCCATCGCTTGATCTTATTCGCAGCTAACCATCATACTAATGGCCGTTCCACTATCCGCAACCTGTGGACCCGCTTGGTAGCATTCAGCTTAGCCCCAAGTAAGTAGAAGACATTTTACAAAAGTAAAGATCTCCAAATAGAATGGAAATTTGCTTTTGAATAAATTTATTCAAAAGCAAATTTCCATTCTATTTGGAGGTTTTTACTTTTGTAAAATGTCTTCTACTTATATATATGTGTGTGTTTATGTATTCTTTGTTAATTCGATCTTGTCTGACGATGAAACGAAATGTTTCGAAAAGCTTCAGATTAGTCGAATAAATAGGAATTAGAATGAAATTTAAATCTGCTGTTAAACTAATTAATTAACTTATTAAAATTATTGCCTGTAAACTTTATAAATTACTCAGATTTTTTACGGCAGAACTACGGGATTTTGTTTATAATACGTTTTATTGTTTCCGAAAAACCAAATTACGAATCGCAAAAATACGACTTGATTTAGCTTTCTTAAAAACATGCAAAAGAGAGAATCTCTTACCAGACTCTGTCCGCTTCAGACCTCCTGTGTTTCATCAACGTTACCAATCATCATTAACTCAGTGTTATCAAGACATACTTAACAGTGAAATTAAATTAAAAAAACGTGAATTATCTCAATTGCATCGTTACTCTCATCGTTTAAAATGTGATTTAACAACTCATATTGATCATTTAACATTTGTCCGCTTAACTTCTATCATCGAATCCTTCGTTATACGTTCACAAACTACCTGGAGTCTTTCTCATGAAAACAAATTAATTAAATTTCGTCATCAGCAACATCCTCCACCAGTTCATATTCCTTCATGTGATTATCGGAAACAAGCAGTTCGGAATTTCTCCAAACTTCAATTAACCAACGACGAAATATTAGCACTTTCAAATGGATTAGACTTTGTTTTTCCATCTGCCAAATTGGTTATACAACTGATCGTAGTGACTTTGAAACCAAAGAGAGAAATGAACACGTTCAATAAAAATTAACTCCCGAACAGTTAAAATTTTCCACTAAAATTCGACGTGCTGCGCACGACTTTAGACACAAATCTCGGATTACTCCGAAGAAAACAAATACCAATGGATTTAAACATTCAGAAATATTAAAGACATTAGCGAAAGACAAATCTATTATCATCATTAAAGCTGATAAAGGGCGATCAGTTGTTGTACTTGATCGTGAAGATTATTTGAATAAGATGGAAATCTTGATTAGTGATCACACAACATTCAAACCAATCGAGAATGACCCAACGATTACTGAAGAAAACCGTTTAATACGTAAACTTCGCCAATTGAAAGAACGTGGCTTTATTAGTGAAAGTGAATATAACTTTTGTTATCCATGTGAATCTCAACCTACACGTCTTTATGGACTCCCCAAGGTCCATAAGGACGGTGTGCCATTAAGACCGATCCTTTCCGCATCTGGCACCTTCAACTTTGGCATTGCCCAATTGTTAGCGCGCAAACTCTCTCATCTTGCCAAACACTCTACAGTCATCGAAGATACGTTTAAATTTTTGGATGAGTTACACTCCCTGAAAATCAACATGAATGATCATAAATTAGTATCATTTGACGTCACCAGTCTATTCACAATGGTACCATTACAACAAACGATTGACATTATATTAGATGAATTGTATGGTGGAAAGTGTAACTGTTCTAATGTTGTCCACAATAAAGAAGACGTCACGAAAATGAAGAATGAAGGACACAAGAAGAAAAATTTGAAACCGAATAAAAACAATTATAATACTTGTGTTGCTTGTTTAGATCGTGCTGACATGAAATGGCTGTTAGAAACTGCCACGTCACGCACTCATTTTCATTTTAACCATAAAATTTATAGACAGATCAACGGAGTCTCGATGGGATCACCACTTGGTCCGCTCTTAGCCAATATTTACATGGTCCATCTTGAAAAGAACCTAATGGAAGAATTACAACATCATGGAGTAGTTTATTGGAAGAGGTATGTCGATGACACAATAACAATTGTCAAAGTTGACAGTGACATCAACAAAATTACTTCTATCTTGAATTCCTTCCATCCTTCTATTCAATTTACCATTGAACCAGAAACTGACCAATCACTTCCATTTCTTGATATTCTTATTCATCGTCGTTCTACTCCAAATCACTCGTGGTTCACTACTTCTATCTATCGAAAACCGACATTTACCGGGCTTATTTTAAAATGGAATTCATTTGTACCTTTGTATTATAAACGTGGTGCAATAACAAGTATGGTTTACCGAGCCATTAGAATATCGTCGGATTACACTTTACTTCACAAAGAATTGATTTTCATACGTCAAATTGCCATTTCAAATGGTTATCCATTACCATTCGTTCTCCATATTATCCGAACAACACTCGACCGATATTTTGAATCGAATTCCAATTACAAATTAAAACCATCAAAAGTTCAACAAACGTCAATCGATCCCAAAAAAACTAAACAAACAATTCTAGTCGATGTCCCGTTTGTTGGTAGACCGAGTGTTGCTTTTGGAAAAAAGCTCATAAACATTGCCAAACAAATCGAACCATCGTTCCATATACAACCAATACTGCGACCGCCTCCCAGCATTCAAAGTTGTTTTCCTCGTAAGGATCCCATTCCGAAGGCTTTATTATCCAACGTGGTATACAACATCGAATGTAATGATTGTCCAGCTAGTTATATCGGAAAAACATCTCGACAGGTGTCCAGACGATTTGTCGAACATGGTTTACCCACTTTGAATGAAGTGTCAAGTTCACATACATCTGAATCACCTGATTCAATAACTGATAAAACACTTGTGCCTTCTACAGTTGGTTCAACATTACGTCGATCGAAACGAAAGAAACTAGTTTTGAACTACACGACATTCGAAAGATCGTCTGAAAAGATCACTGATCATCAATCTAATATCTCAACAAAATCCATCAAATCTACTATTCATGATCATATGATAGAGACCGGACATACGATAAATCATGACAATTGGAAACTATTGAGCAAGGATCGCAGGTATTATCAATTACTGGTACGTGAATCGATCCACATCGCAACTCGACAACCTTCTTTGAACAGAACTATTTGCTCAGTACCTCTTGTTATTTATCCAGATATATCTTCTATCATTCTCCCTAGATGCAAAATGAAACCAGGAGTGACATAGTCGGCCACAGTGGGATTTGTTTGCTTTCGAATAAATTTATTCAAAAGCAAATTTCCATTCTATTTGGAGGTCTTTACCTTTGTAAAATGTCTTCTGCGTATATATGTATGTGTTTATGTATTCTTTGTTAATTCGATCTTGTCTGACGATGAAACGAAATGTTTCGAAAAGCTTAACATTAATCAAATAAATAAGAATTAGAATGAAATTTAAATCTGCTGTTAAACTAATTATTAAATGAACAAGATTGTCGACATTTAGTTTTTCAGTCAAAATTCGAATATTTGGCTGATCAATTTCGTGTTCTGTTTGTTCAATTCCTTCTAATTCTTCTCTAATATTATCTAGTAGTCGATATTCTATTTGATCTTCTTTCAGCAAAGCGCCAAGTCGTCGACGCAACTGTTTGATTGATTCCAAATTATTCGCTGCTCTTTCAATAATCTGATTTCGATGTTTTTCCACCATAGTGTTGATTTGTTTTTGCACCTGTTCATAAACATCATCAATCTGTTGATAACAACTGACCTTCCATTGATCCATTTGCTCGCGAATATCATTCAGATAATCCAATGTGACCATTGTTTGATTTTTGTCAATTTGATGAAGATGTTCGTACATTGTGTTCACTTGATTGACGACAGGTAAAAGTTGTTTTTCGATCCATTTTTTATGCTCATTTAGATGGTTTGTGCATAGATCTTGTGAACAATGATAACAATATGTGTCGACTAGATTTCGACATTTTTCTATCGAACATTCGTTTGTCATGGAGTTTTTTTTTCTAAAGAAGAAAGCAAAAACATGCGATCATGATAGTGATGAAAAAAAAACTTTCTAGTGGAGTTTGTTCAATCAATACGTAAATTTGCTTTTTCTTTACGCATATGTATTTCAATATGGACATGTTATTCTCACACTGGCTAACAAGTGTAAGAACTTCTTTTCATTCATTTGTGATCATCTGGAATCTTTTATATCTGAATATACTGACAACAATGATTGTTTTTTCCTCTTAAATTTGTACAACAGAAAAACGAACAGAGCAGTGCGGAGAGAATTCGAAAGAATTCTTTTTTGAAAAAACAAATGCTTCATTTTGTCGTACAATTTAGTTGTAAACATTTCTTTTTGAGGGTGAGGGTTTTATCGTATGTTTCATTTCTGTCGCGTTTGTACCATGCGTCTGAAACACATTCGAAACGTGTTTACATTCGCAAACTTTTCACATGAAATGGATTGTTATGCTTACATTCTAAACTGCACCACCATCACTCTTTTTTTCTTCGATATTTTCCGTTGGATTTTTCTACATTCGACATTTTTACTTTCGATCTTAGTTGAGAGAATCGTTTCTAAAAGATTTTATAGAAAACTAATCGGTTCGGTTGGTATGATCATAGAGAGCGAATGAAACTCCTTCAAATACAAATCAACGAAAAAGTAAAGTCTTAGTTTCAAATTAAACGTTTTTTTATCAGGGAGTTTTGGTGAATGTATTGGTTTTCGAATTGAATATTAATGTCAAGGTCGGACTGATTGTGCTTGCTGAATCCACAGGCACAGCATTTGCCTTGTCAGCGGCGTATTGCATGAAAGATCCAGTGGAAGACTCTGAAGATTAAGAGAAAAATATCATCGACTAATTAGTAAGAAGTCACTCACCCTGAACCCCAATAGTGGCACTTACTCCTCCATCATCAGCCTGAAAGTATCGAATGGTAACAATACCCAGAGAATTTTCATCGAAGATAACTTGAAAACGATAAAGCTTCGAACTGCGTGAAGCGTAGTATTCAATGGTGAACTGTCGATTTGGAACTCCTCCAGTTGTCGAATAATAGATGCCTTCAGATGTTGTGTCATGTGCAAGATATAGATCATCCCAGAGCGCAAAAATCGTTGCGTTGGAAAAGGAGCTACTTGGCAAGTTTGTGTTCCTATAGGCCGTTGAGCATCCACCAAAACACACAACCTACGAGAAAAATTTTATGTAGCAAGAGAGTTTCCCCTATAAATTAGAATCACAATGTAGAAACATATGAAATCGAAGTGTATGAGAGTGAAACATCAATCATACAGCCGGAAAACGAGTCGAAAAAAGTACGAAAATGTCTCATGTACTTATACAGCTTTGTAAAGAAAGTATCTTACTTTTTTAGATAGTTACATAAGCATCTGAGACATATTTGCACAGTTCTTCACGCATTCCTCAATTATACAGTCCAGAAATTTTCAGGATGTAGAATAATAATCGAAATATCAATGCCATAAATATGTACTGTGTATCTGACGCTTTCGATGGCTCAATATCAGAAACCCATGAATTCGTTTATCTTCGGTAGGATTATATGATATTTTAGGACTAAGCTCTACAGTCCTCGAATTTTTGACTACGCGACTGCTTTCCAAGCATATGGAAAATGAAAACTACTATCGGTTTTGCTTGTGGAAGCATAAAATGTAATAGAATTTGGCACAATCGAAGCTCAAGAGAAAAACTACAAATTTTGAGGTTGCGAGGATACGAGGTTTCCTCCTTGAGAGTATCTAAAATGCGTTTTGAGTCTTGATGAACTGTTAGAATGTGGATATATTAATCTAGAAATGAAATTAATATTTACTCCATTGCTTGACAACGTAAGAGTAAATGTTCGATAGTTGTAAAATTCCACGTAGAAGGGCAAAGTAATGCTCGTTGTTGTGTCATCTACAGTGTCTGTAGTGCCCCAATTTGAAATTATCATTGGATTATTCCCTCTACTGAAAGGAGGGTATACAAAGAATTTGAGCTAAAGTTCGTTCGTTTGTCCGTACGTTCGTCCGTTCACGTACTTTACACTACCCATGTCAAAGCTGTACGACAAGAACCGGCGGGATCAATGACTTTCCCATGATTTCCTGCAATGGGAATCTGACTTCGTATCCGGCCATCCGCTTCCAATACTCTTCCGATTGATTCCTTGACACGGATCATATTTTCGGATACGGTCGTAGGATCCGATCCGGTTCCTGGCGAAGGATCCGTTGGTCTTTTACGAGCGACGGGATACGAACCGTAACCCACAGTTTCCGTTACGGTTACGAGCATATGAACCGCTACTTTCCCGTATTTTCAGATTCTAAATCGTNGAATCTGACTTCGTATCCGGCCATCCGCTTCCAATACTCTTCCAATTGATTCCTTGACACGGATCATATTTTCGGATACGGTCGTAGGATCCGATCCGGTTCCTGGCGAAGGATCCGTTGGTCTTTTACGAGCGACGGGATACGAACCGTAACCCACAGTTTCCGTTACGGTTACGAGCATATGAACCGCTACTTTCCCGTATTTTCAGATTCTAAATCGTTTAATACGATTTTTCCACTAATCAGTATTTAAATGCACAGAAATTTTACAACTTTATGATACGTAATTAATAGAGAGGTGATAGAAGCCTACCATTGATTGAGATGAAAATATTTGTTTGCATCTAAATACTCGGCAGACTGATACAACTCTTCTGAATTTTTACTTTGTTAGTGATTCTTTACTTAAGATTCAATGATTCCTAACGGAAATTATGCGAATTTTTTTATAATACTATTGAAAAATATTTCAAAGCCACTTCTCAATTGTAAAAATACAGTATCGTATGAAAGAAAATGTTCCATTTTGGTTATACTGTGAATCGGTTATTATTCAAAAAGTTGTCAAATGGTTAGTACACCCTTTCAAAATCTTACATGTACACATGTATTTTAAATCACCTGCTCAAAGACCCATCTACGTTGGTAACGTAGAATAAAGTAGTAATCTAATAAATAACTATCATAGTGCTGTAGGTGATTTATCGTGTTTATTATCGATGTTTTTTTTTATTAATTCTGAGTTCCCATGAGGTGTTTGGTGGAGTAGATACGTGTGGTGCATAAATGCAATATTGAGTTTAACTTAACCGCAACTATTGTGCAAAGATTACGTTATTAGATCCAATACCATCCTGCATGCCGGTATTATTTATCTACAATGAGTGCCAAGTCGCTATTTCACAACTTACTGACGTATATCTTTTCAATCATTCTTCCAATTGCCATCCACCCGCCAACGTAAAACAGGCGTGAAAATCACATTTCACATGAGAAAGCTAATGAAAAATCAACTTAGATCACATGATTCCATCAACCTTTTAATCGATTAAATCCTGTTAAAAAACTGATAAAAATTTAATTCTCTTCAAGACATTATTTAATTTTCAACAGTATCTGTCTTCCATCAAAAATAATCAGTCCAAGTAGATATTACAACAGCATTCAGCCGATTTCAGTTAATTATTTTTACCTTAATCGATTTCCAAGCTGTTTAGATCAAGTACTTTAATCCGATATACAATCACATTTTTGCCGTCCAATCTGATTGCTCCAAAACTTTTCACATAAATGATCCTAAAGACATTTAAATCGCATTTCTATCCGTCGACGACATACTCACCGTTTTGTTTTGCAGGAGTCCATGGTATAAATACGGGTGCTTTTCGTCCTATTTTCTGCATGTTTCTCGAAGTCATCCGAAATCCTGGGGGTGATGGAGAGGCGATTTAAATCCCATTTCCACTCGTCAACGACGAGTATAGCCAGGGTACTTTTAGGATTTTCCCTAATAATTACTGAAATTTGAAAAAAATCATCATAGGATGCTTTTTGGATGCTTTTAGGATTTTTCCTAATGATTACTGAAATTTGAAAAAAATCATCATAGGATGCTTTTTGGATGCTTTTAGGATTTTTCCTAATGATTACTGAAATTTGAAAAAAATCATAGTAGGATGCTTTTTGGATGCTTTTAGGATTTTTCCTAATGATTACTGAAATTTGAAAAAAATCATAGTAGGATGCTTTTTGGATGCTTTTAGGATGTATTTGATTTTGGAAAGGGTATAGATTCCGTTCGTTCACGGTGACATTTCCCGCCGTTTCCTGAAGGATCTTATCATATTGCCTTTAACTTCCTGGCGGATCTGATGTATTTTCCCTGTGGCGGAAAATTCGGTATTTCAAAGGTTCCATTTCCGTGGAATACCTGCAGGAATACTGCTTCCACTTTCCGTGTGTTTTTCCTGCGGGATACTTTGCAAGCCCGCGTGGAACCTGTAGGAAGATGCGGGAAAAGACATAGGATCGTTCGGGTTCCGGGCGTATCCGGATTCCGGAAACATTACCTTGGGATGTAATGGCAAAACACGAAAGAATCTTCTTCTGTTATTTACATCGCTTTTGATTCAATGGTTAGTTTATTAGCTGAACAATTTGTTGAAATAAGCTGTAGTCTCATCCTTTCATTTGTTTATGGAATGAGTGAATATCGCAAATACTTACCATCATCGAATGATAAAGTGCATCTCGTTCTTGATTGGCCACTACAACGATTTATTCTTTCACATACTGCTGTAAAATTATTTATATCACATGGTGGATGGATTAGTGTATTCGAGAGTATGCCTGCTGGAAAACCTATGCTAGTCTTATAAATGCTCGGTGATCAGTTCTTCAATGGACATCGGATAGAACATGAATTTAGTACAGGTCGAGTTATTCCGAATACGAAACCAAATGGCTGCCAACGTCTGATACCAGCTGATGAAATTAGTCAATATGTTCAACAAATAATAGATCAAAACGTGACCTATGGTGAAAAAGCTGAACAATTGCAATCAATAGTGGGAACATGTAAGTGGGATTTTTAACATAGTTATTGACGCTATGATTTCTGACATAAGAGAATAAAGATATCGAACGAGCAATACATTTACCATCACCTTCAAGTGGGTGAAAAACTTCACTGTGAGCGTATATGAGAGAAAATGTATATAATAGTTGTTTTTGTGCATCTATATATTCTTACTTCTCAAATCAAAAAGCAGAACGAAATAAGAGATCAACCATTTATCATATACACGAGAGATAGGTATAACAAGCTAGTTAAGGAGGAACTACAAGAAGTATAGACACTTTAAGCCTTTTCCTCTCCTTTCTTTGATTGCGGTCTATCTGATATCATAATGGAATGGAGACAGCTTAACTTTGCATGCAAAAATTAAAGTACGTAAATGAAAGTTCTGTTGTCTCTCATTAGTTTTATATGCATAACTCTCTCTCTCTCTCAAGCTTAGCATTTTGGATGTGCATTCCCTTTCTCACCTTTTATCTATTTTACATTTTAACGTTTTTCTTTCTCTCTTCTAAATAAGTTCATCACCATAGCGTATAGAACTGTCTTACTCTCGCTCAATGTTTGCTTTTATGCCAAGTAACTATGCTTGATTTCTTGTACGCGATCATCTCAATCTTAGTATGAAAATCACCAGATAGTTCGATGGAATTAGTGACCTACAATCATAAGGTAAACCGTTCGAATCTAATTAAAGGAATAAGAATAAAAAATAGGAAGTGGTATCTAATGAGCTGACCGAGGTTTGACATGGCCATGTGAAGATAGTAGATGATATACCACCATGATGGTGAATTACTTCTTTCGAAAAGCCATTAATAACTGCAGTTTCGGCCGGTGTGGGAAAACCTAATAAAAGGTCTGACTTTCGCAGTTCAATTAAACCGCTGACACTAACGCTCTCTCGCACCGTGATATACCGCGGTTTTGATCGAAAATTTTTTTCGTGGGTAATTGTGAAATTCATTTTTCCATTGATGGTTTTTCAGCAACTAATGTGCGAAACTGTGTAGATGGTACGCTTGGTTCATTTAATGATTGTTCTAAATTAAACAAGATCACTGTGCACTTGAACAAGTAGGTATCGAATAAATTTGCGGTAATATGGCATGTTTCTAATGAAACATAACTAACAACATCATCGTTATTGTGCTTAACAAAGGTTAAATGTTTCTCGATGTAATCTTTTGTCTTTACAATAAATGCTTGATTAACAACTTGTGCAAATTGTAAATCTTCATTTTTTTCATCTCGAACAGAACACGCATTGCATCTACAAGACGCTGCATGTTCAGAAAAAAGTCAAGCAAATATCTCTGCAATCTTTGAATAAAATGACTGAAGACGAGATTTTTGTCGATCTTTAAATATCCGCTGGACTTCTTCAATATAATATTTTCCTTTCGTGACATAAAATCTCTGTGACTCATCGTTTCCTAACGAGTCTATGAACGTATATGAGATTTTCCCAGTTAAATGGATAACCACGAACAGCTGACCAGGTCGAGCAATGCCATACTCGGATCCCATCAGATCCAATATAGGATTTTATCGGATTTGTTGACCTGGGTGTTGTAAAAGAATCGGGTGTCGTGCATAATTCCGACACTCAGCAGTTGTAATGTGAATTCATTTTTGTTTTTTTTTATCGGCAATATTTTCATAAACAGTAAGATTTGTTGTTCGTTGCCGTTTTACATCTGTTGCTGACGATGGCTCGGGTGTCATCAATAATTAGCCCTATCTGGTGTTTCTCCTAACAGTGTAGATAGTTTTCCTCACTAATTAAATGAATATTCGGTGACTTAGTATCACACGTTGATAATTAAAAGATCTGGATGCTCATGTATGTTGGACAGTCTTTCTTGAATTCATGTTAGTCGAATAAGTATGATGAAGATAAATATGCAGGAAGGAGTAAAAAAATGAGCAAATGAAACAACATTTTCACGTAGTTAGTACGTACGAAGTAAAATAATCAACAATGTTTGGTAACTTAACGCGTTTTTCTTCTCTTGTTAAGTTCTTTTATTGTTCGCTTTTCTGAAAAAAAGGGTTATACAGTGTTAAAATGCTGTGTTAAAAAGCTTAAAGGTTGTCTGTCTGTCTGTCTGTCCTATCCAATCAGAAATCAGCATTTCTAAAATCAATGAAATTGGTCGATAGTTGTTAGAAAATGATTACCCGTAGGGTAATCGAGGTCGCGGATTACGAATCCGACGTTAGTGTAGATTAATTAATTATTAATTTTTCATTAACTAGTCACGACTTATTAACATCCATTGTCAGAGTAGGCCGAATGGCTTCGGACGTCGGGAAATTCAAAGTTGAGCGTGAATTTCGTCTTATTCGCTGAGCCTGGGGTTGTTCCGTCCTCTTTACAAAGGAGATATTTTTCTTTATCTGTTCTAAAATTTTTTGTAGAAGATGGTGAGCTGAACGCTATTCACGGACGTCATGCGTACAAAGATAGTAGCTCAAGAACTTACACGAAAAGATCTAATGCATTGTACATAATGATGTTTCTAATTGATGAAATCCGAAAAAGTGACACGAGCTTAGTGTCATCTTTGCTTTTTAGGCTACATACATCATGTCTTCTCATGGGAATTTAGTAGAAGTAGTTCGCAAAGTGATATACACGTCGGTGGAATTCCATATTAGTAACTACAGACGCGTGGACTGTAGAAACAGTATTCAGATCATATGCAGCGCTATGAAAGATGTTCGTTTCGAAGCAAATCGTATAATAAGACTTTCTTATCTAGTTTCTTTCGGTAGTCGAATGAATAGAAGATCATGACTGTCGAAGCGACAATAAAAGAAAACCTAATCGTTTAGTGTGGAAGTTGATCAAATGCGAAAGGAATAACAGAAACAGCATGGCAACGGCTAACCGTGAGTGACCGATCGGAGGGAGGTCGACGAACGACTACGCGTTTAAATGCTAGATTAATCCTAAAGTGAACGCTTATAATAACATTGCCAGGCTTCAGATAATTTTGAAAGGAATTTAACGAATGGATATTCCTCAATGAAAATATTCGACAAGGTATCATTTTGTTGACAGGAGAGAACAGAATTGGTTGATCGCTGGAAGACACAAGCGAATGTTCGAACTTTTCAAGAAGTCTACAGCATATCATCCGTCTATGAGTGACTTAGTAAAGCATTTATGAAAATTTCCATGCGCGTGATGTGAAAAAAGAAAAACAGAAGACAAAGGTCAATGGTTGGCCGCGTGACTAGTCGTTGAGCGATGAATTTTTCAGTCAACATAGTTAGTACTGGAGAATTATTCACTGATAAATGGGTAATGGATCTCATTCCTAAAAAGACCTCTGTATCTTATTCATTCTAGTTCTAGTGTGTGACATAGTGCCATGATTCAGTTGAGCACTAGTAGCAATCGCAGTGCGGTTTTTTCTCTTTCAAAGTCTGTGAATGTGTTCAGCATTCGGAAAAGTCTTTCAGAAAAGGGTCAGCGAATTCAAAGGATGAGCGTTACTTGTGTTTTATTATAGGAAAAAACCAACGTGACAGATGTCGAAAATTTTGTTCTTTCTGTTCTTTTTCAAAAAACAATCTTGTTTTCACTACAGAAAAAAAATTTGTTATTCTTTCAGCAAGTTGACTCGTCAATCAACAAAAGCATAAAATCTCACGAGTATCGTCATCATTGCATAAACACCAAGAAAAACTCATTTCTGTCTGTACAAAACGTACAAATTTCTGAGTACGATGGAATCTTATGATGCGACAAGACTACACGAATGTCTAACTTCAATCATCCAGAAAATCGATGAGGCTTTGGAAGAATTGCGACAAAAACGTGACCTGGCAGCATCAGCCGACACGGCTGTTCTAGACCCATTGCTCGACAATTCAATTCAGAACAACAATGTCAATACATTTTCAATCGATAATGATGAAACCGAATTATTGAACACATTGACTAGCCGTATTCAAAATATTTTAAGAGATTCCTTATCAGGATTATCGGAATTATGTTTACGTCATATACAAAAGCATTTACATCAGTATCACTTCGATCCTGACCAACACGTTTTTACCGAAGGACTCTCCGCTAATATTCTTTATTCATTTCAACAAGATCTCAATGGGCTATTATCAGCTGTAGAAGCCTATCCAGCTGCATTGAAAGGTGATTCCAAGACAGTAGAAGACTTTCTCAAGAAATATCCATTTTATAAGGATAAACCTGGCTTCTGGGGCACAACTCTTTTGTATTCCGCTGCCAAGAGCGATACTATTCGTTTAGTTGAACGCCTAATTGAAACATTCAATTGCTCTGTCAATGCTCCTAATGAAACTGAAATGAATTTTACTTTAGTCAATGAGGAAAACAGCCAGACCCATCTTTCGTATAATCTCGATTCAAAATTTGCATCCACAGCTCTACATGCTGCTTGTTATAACAACAATCTAGATATTGTAAAATATTTAATCAGTAAAGGAGCAAATTATTTCGCTCGAAATCAACTTGGCGAGACTCCTATTCAAAACGGTGGATCGCACAAATCTATCCAAGATTTCTTCAAAGATTATCTTATTACCACATACACAAGTGACATGCATATGTCTTTACCTACCGATCCTGTTTTGAATTGCTACGATCGGAAACCAACGAATTGCATTTGGGAGTATAAACCAGTACGAGATTCTCAATGGAATGAATTTACCATCAGTGAGCATAATATGTTATGTGCTGTTTTGATGTCCGGAACAAATACTCTAACATTTGATTCAACAACTTATTTAAATTCTTCTCGAGGAACGTACACTGTTAATTTTTTCACCTTTTTTCGTGGTGAAAAACACCAAGAGCCAAACCCATCGGTTCAGGAAAGTTCAGCATGGATACGTTGTCGCGGTTCGAGTATCGCAAACTTCGATATTTATTGTGTTTGGCAATTAATGTTTGTTAAATATGATGGAATTTCTCCATCGGAAACTATCGAGACACCATCATTAGACTCGAAGACATTCCCAAGTGTTTACGATAGTAAATTTCAGATTCGATTAAACTGCTGGTATACGTGTGATTCGAAAAGAAATGCTCTGTTGGATGAAGCTATGAACTATCGACGACGCNGTTCGAGTATCGCAAACTTCGATATTTATTGTGTTTGGCAATTAATGTTTGTTAAATATGATGGAATTTCTCCATCGGAAACTATCGAGACACCATCATTAGACTCGAAGACATTCCCAAGTGTTTATGATAGTAAATTTCAGATTCGATTAAACTCCTGGTATACGTGTGATTCGAAAAGAAATGCTCTGTTGGATGAAGCTATGAACTATCGACGACGCTACCTGGAATTGAATTGTAATTTTGATGTGGATCATGACAACAATCGTATTGTTAAATGCAATCTGTATGAATTTCAATTCAGTAACGACAATAAAACCATCGTTGGTTTTCTCCGTTGGATACCGAAATTAATTGCGAATACATCGAATAGCCAGGAGACGATTAAAGTTCTGGATAATTTCAAAATGATTTACAATTTCAATCCAATACCTTTAACAACAAAACGATTGAGAAAATCGACTAAGACAACCATCGATAATGAAAGTACCGAATCGGAAGTTTCCGATGGCAACGGGATGATTGATGATTATGATGATGATAAGACAAAAACCTCAGATGAAAATGTCGGTACTTGGAGTTTGAGCGATATTTTAGAGAAAGATCCACCATCCACAGTTGAGCAGATTGACTTACAACCAATCGAACCCGCAAACGATCCAGTGGGAGACGTTGAAGTTCGTGAGATACCTTCGACAAATAATAGTGAAGAACAGAAGGCAAAATTTACTTTAGAACTTGAAAATAAACAATTGCAGGAGAAAATCAGCTCTCTGAAAACTGAAATAGTTGCACAAGTGGATGACTCCAATACTCAAACTTCCAATGTATTACTTTCAACGATGATCGAATTCGATCGTTTACAAAATGAAATGAGCACAATAAAAGCGCATGAAAAGTCAATTAGAACAACTTCACAAGAGATCTCAACGAAATCGTATGCGTTACCCAAATCGAATTTATCGATACTTTCGAAATTCAAATTGATCTTCAACACCTTGAAACAAATCGACTATCCTATGAAAACTTACTTTCAAGATAGTGTACCATCGATGGAATTGGATGAGCAATATGAAGACCAGATTCTTCTCCGAGGCTTTCAAGTTCACCACAAAGCATTGGAAAACATTTTTGAAAAGATTCGACTTCTTACCCAACAAATTCATTCCGCGGAAAAAGATTTCAACCAACAGCTCAATCGAAATGTTCAAACTGTTCTCCAAACGGTTCAACAGGTACACCTCGAGAAGATGATCTATTGGAAATCTTATCAAAGTTCATTCGTGAAACATACCAATCACAGCTATGATGATAATATCAAGAATTTTTCCAAATATCTGCATGAAAAATTGAGATCATTCTTGGATATTTGTATTCAGGATCTATCACATGATTTTAAAACTGACATATTTCATTTAACAAATAATTATTCGAAAGATACAGCATTCACGGATGACATGGAGAAAATCAAACTATGTGCTTTTGGCGATTTTATTCGGGAACATATTTTTCTACAGCAAAAATCAACAAAAACTATTCCAAACAAAGACGCCGTTTCCAGCCTGAATAAACATATTGGAAAAGTTCAAAATATCCTGAAAACAGACACGAAATACAAAGGATGTGAGCTGAAACATTTCTACATGGTCAATTCGTTATTACAACGATTGATGATCTTGTATCATTGTTTTCTTGTACAATTACCTTTGTTCAATGCCTCATTCGGTCTTTTGAGTGATATCGAAACGAATACAATCATTACCGTTTCGACAGCAACCNTACACTGTTAATTTTTTCACCTTTTTTCGTGGTGAAAAACACCAAGAGCCAAACCCATCGGTTCAGGAAAGTTCAGCATGGATACGTTGTCGCGGTTCGAGTATCGCAAACTTCGATATTTATTGTGTTTGGCAATTAATGTTTGTTAAATATGATGGAATTTCTCCATCGGAAACTATCGAGACACCATCATTAGACTCGAAGACATTCCCAAGTGTTTACGATAGTAAATTTCAGATTCGATTAAACTGCTGGTATACGTGTGATTCGAAAAGAAATGCTCTGTTGGATGAAGCTATGAACTATCGACGACGCTACTTGGAATTGAATTGTAATTTTGATGTAGATCATCACAACAATCGTATTGTTAAATGCAATCTGTATGAATTTCAATTCAGTAACGACAATAAAACCATCGTTGGCTTTCTCCGTTGGATACCGAAATTAATTGCGAATACATCGAATAGCCAGGAGACGATCAAAGTTCTGGATAATTTCAAAATGATTCACAATTTCAATCCAATACCTTTGACAACAAAACGATTGGAAAAATCGACTAAGACAACCATCGATAATGAAAGCGCCGAATCGGAAGTTTCCCATGGCAACGGGATGATTGATGATTATGATGATGATGAGACAAAAACCTCAGATGAAAATGTTGGTACTTGGAGTTTGAGCGATTTTTTAGAGAAAGATCCGCCATCCACAGTTGAGCAGATTGACTTACAGCCAATCGAACCCGCAAACGATCCAGTGGGAGACCTTGAAGTTCGTGAGATACCTTCGACAAATAATAGTGAAGAACAGAAGGCAAAATTTGCTTTAGAACTCGAAAATAAACAATTGCGGGAGAAAATCAGCTCTCTGAAAACTCAAATAGTTGCACAAGTGGATGACTCCAATACTCAAACTTCCAGTGTGTTAAGTTCGACGATGATCGAATTCGATCGTTTACAAAATGAAATGAGCACAAAAAAAGCGCATGAAGAGTCAATTAGAACAACTTCACAAGAGATATCAACGAAATCTTATGCGTTACCCAAATCGAATTTATCGATACTTTCGAAATTCAAATTGATCTTCAACACCTTGAAAAAAAATCGACTATCCTATGAAAACTTACTTTCAAGATAGTGTACCATCGATGGAATTGGATGAGCAATATGAAGACCAGATTCTTCTCCGAGGCTTTCAAGTTCACCACAAAGCATTGGACAACATTTTTCAAAAGATCCGACTTCTTACCCAACAAATTCATTCCGCGGAAAAAGATTTCAACCAACAGCTCAATCGAAATGTTCAAACTGTTCTCCAAACGGTTCAACAAGTACACCTCGAGAAGATGATCTATTGGAAATCTTATCGAAGTTCATTCGTGAAACATACCAATCACAGCTATGATGATAATATCAAGAATTTTTCCAAATATCTGCATGAAAAATTGAGATCATTCTTAGATATTTGTATTCAGGATCTATCACATGATTTTAAAACTGACATATTTTATTTAACAAATAATTATTCAAAAGATACAGCATTCATGGATGACATGGAGAAAATCAAACTATCTGCTTTTGGCGATTTTATTCGTGAGCATATTTTTCTACAGCAAAAGTCAACAAAAACTATTCCAAACAAAGACGCCGTTTCCTGCCTGAATAAACATATTGAAAAAGTTCAAAATATCCTGAAAACAGACACGAAATACAAAGGATGTGAGCTGAAACATTTCTACATGGTCAATTCGTTATTACAACGATTGATGGTCTTTTATCATTGTTTTCTTGTACAATTACCTTTGTTCAATGCCTCATTCGGTCTTTTGAGTGATATCGAAACGAATACAATCATTACCATTTCGACAGCAACCGGATCAGGTAAATCTACTCTTCTTCCTGCTTTATTGACTGCCGATGGTTACGATAAGATAATTGTTACCCAGCCACGACGTTTACCGTGTAGTTTGATATCGAAACGAGTGAATTTGATGGTTAATGATGACATCAGTGGTTGGGCAATAAGTGGTGCGGAAAATAATGTGCAAGGAAAGATCCTTTATTTAACCGATGGACTTTTAAAAGAACGTTTGTTAAACGATGAAAATTTCATAACACCAAACACCAAGATAAACAAATCCGTGGTTTTCTTTATTGATGAAGTGCATGAACGTTCAGTTAATATCGATTTATGTTTGGCTTTGTTTGCACGTTTATTCAAGTTAAATCCTCAACTACGAACGAAGATGAAGTTGATCATTTCGTCGGCGACATTGGACCAATCAGTTCCAGCATTGTTTCGAAACATATCCGGTTGTTCACTGAAAGAATTCAATTTAACATCTTTGTCAACATTGTATCCTGTAAAATTTCATCGTACACCCGATGAAAATCTGATCGAACTCGTCCAAAAACTCTACAGTGGACGCAATCGTCACGATCAGATCCTTTGTTTCGTCAGTTCAACGCAAGACACTCATGAAAACTGTCAATTACTAAAAGAAATGACTAAAGGAGCGATCAATGCCTATCCTCTTATTCAATCTCAGCCAGCGACTGAACAACAGCGATACATCGAACAAGGAAGTGTTTTCTTCTCTACGACGGTTGCTGAAACATCATTAACATTTCCTTGTTTGAAATATGTCATCGATACGGGACTGATTAACATGCCGGTTTATAGTTTAGAATTGGAACGAACGGAATTGAAAGAAATTAAGACGGCAGAATCGACAACCAAACAGCGATTGGGTCGACTTGGCCGAACTCAACCGGGAGAATATTATGCTTTGTATGATTATCCAGCGAGTGAACAACGAAAGTATCCGGTTCCACAGATTTGTCAGTCGGATTTAGTTAATATCGAGTTTTCGCTAAGAAAATCACGCCTGAGAACAACTTTACGAGAGTTTCTCCAATATTTACCAGACAAACCAGAACGAAAGTTTGTTGATGATGCAATCAAACAACTTCAACGATTAAGTATAGAGGAATTCTTGAGGTTTCGAATAAAATATTTATCTATTCTTTAGGTTTTGTTAGTTCTTCTCCCAAAGAAAATCTCACATCGTTGGGGAAGGCAATTGCTGGATTACCTGACTTTACTTCATTACCTATGTCGAAAGCGGTTCATAAAGCATTGACACGTTATCGTTGCGGTCGTGATTTGATTCTTCTTGCGTCAATTTTGTCTGTTTTAAATACTTCAACTATCCTGAAGTCTATCCCCACTGAATACAAACGTTCCGAAGGTGATTTTATGACACTTCTACAAGTTATGTATACCGTCGTATCGATGCGTGATGCAGTTACACCTCAACAATTCGATCTTAATAGGTTTTGCAACAGTAAAAACTTAACCAGTATTTTCCACGTCATCCGATCCGCACTACGACGATACAAAAGTTTAGAAAAAGCATTTAGTCTATCCAATGAGTATCGAGAACTTGCTCAAGTTCAATCTGGAAATTGGGAGAATATCGCCAAAGCTCTACTAGAAGGCTTCTCTGATAGAGTTTATGCTTCGCAAAGACTACTTCAGGGCAAAACTCAGCAGTACGTCAAATACAACTCCCACCAACAACGAGCTTCACTAAATGAACCATATTCAATTGCAGTTATTGATCGAACATCAACCATAAGAACAGGAAACAAAGGTGCACAACCAGCTTCATTAATTCTAGCACGGGATGTTCGTTATTTAACAGCCGTTCGCTCATCAGCGGTTCTGTCGTTTGTTGGACAAATCGAATCTTCATGGCTGGAATATACGTTCAAACGAGAATTAAAGTTAAATCAAAAAGAAGGAGAGAAATTAACCAGTAACACCTTGCGACAAGCAATACAACAATTTCCTCACTTACAAATGCATACAAATAATGGTGTGCTAAGCCTTCACGGTCCATCGGGTCATATTCTTAATGCGGAACTCTATATTCGACAACAATTAATAACTCGGTTCAGTATGACTTTAGCATCGGATCGAACGAATGATAATTTGGCGAGAAATTTACGGAGTATAACAAGCATGCCGGGAGATCTATTCGGCCCATTGAGATGGCGATGGGAATCGGAATGTCAAGTGAAAGTTCGAACGAAAATGCACAGGAATAACGGAACGATTGAAGTCAATGTTGAAGGTCTTGATTCGCAAAATCAAGCTGTAGAAAAGGAGTTTAAATCATTTTTAAGCTGGCTTCGTATGTGTGCTGTCATTCGAGATCCCAACTCTGGTGTCTCACCTCGCGTTCTTAAGCCGAACATACGCGAGAATTTTCGGGACATGGAAGCGAAAATTTATAATATCACCGATCCTGGACGAACATCTGTGGATCGATGGAAGAGTTTAAAAGGTCCTAATGCAACACGTGAGACACGCATGGAAGTTGTAGCGTGGATTGCCGTATGTCAATTTCATTGTCGATTAGAAGGCGGCTTTGTTCGAGACTGGGTTGTTGGGAATTATCGATCACGACCAGCTAATTTACCTCCGAAACAATGGATAACATTACCTACTGCACCAGGTGAAATTCCGATATTGCACAAAGATCTTGTTCCATCGGATCTTGATTGCCATTTACCGCAAACAAAAGTCTTTGACGTGGAATCATTTCTTGATGCTCTACATGGTTATGGAATTAATGCCAGATCGTTTCGTCAGGATTGGCGTTATATTATTGTTGTTGACGATGGAACAAAGACAGGCCCGTTCACAATGGATTTAATCGAACCGCATATTGCTTTAACGCACGATCGAATTGACTTCGATGTGAGCAATTTATCGTTAGAACGTGGCTATACTAAAGATTTGGGCATGCGTGTTGATATCACTGGTGGAACATGTCCGATTCAATTGGAAACTATCGTCGAACGTATTCGTAATAAAAATTTTCAAGTTTTACGTCCAATCGATGGCGAAAACGGCCCGAATACATCAGGAACAGTGGCCGAACGCGTTGAGAAAATGAAATCAAGAGGATGGACACAGATTGGTAAACCATTTTCATTTATTCCAAATCCACCATCAACTTGTAATGCGTTGCTTGTGCCTTACCCATCATCAACTGTACTTTATGGAGATCTTGTCGCTGAAATGCAGAAAATTCCAGGCGCTAGAGTGCTTTCAGTCGAACAGATAAAAAATCCCGATGTTGAATCATTGTATGAATATATGAAACGAAGCATCGCGAAAGAATGTCCAGGAAACGATCCACGAGAACGCGAATTGTTTCATGGGACAGGTGGTGATGCTGTAATCCAAGGAATAATTGATAGAGGATTCGATGATCGATACTTCTCACCGTCTGGTGCATGGGGTTAGTCTATTCATTGTCGAGAAGAGTAGCGCAAAAATAGGTTTTTCTTGTTTTAGGACGGGGAGCATACTTTGCTGATGATCCTCGAAAATCAAATAACTATGCACCGCCAGATCCACGGACAAGACATCGTGTTATTTTTTATAACAAAGTTTTACTAGGTGTTCAATGTAAACTGAGTCAACCGGATAACTCTCTCAGTGCAGCACCAAAGGGCCATCATTCTGTTCATGGAACTGGATTACAATGTGATGAATACATTGTCTATCGATATGGACAAGCTTTGCCATATCTGAAAATAACTTACACAACACCTTAAATAACTGTTTTTATTCAACAGTATCTTTGTTTTCACACTCAGTTTATTCATAGAAATTGATATAACAAGCTTTACGAGAGTCGCATGGTATTGTGGTGCACTCAAAATTTGTCTTTGTTTGTCATCAATAAAGGAGAAATACTAGAAAGTCGTTTCGACAATAAAACTCGTAGAAATATGGTGATTGTCTTAACCGATTACCATCCACTATCGGTAATTTGAATAATCGCTGAAGTGTGATGTTTGGATATACAAATCAAACTTTGCCGAGTCTAAGAGCTAAGTCGATTGATCTTGTTTTCCAAGGGGTATTGTCGTTGTAGCTGCCAATGCTGACGAGATAATTGCATTGGCTAGAAATGCTCTAATGAACATTTTCCAAGTGCACTTCAGTATGGAAGAAATGAGACTTCTTTGAGGACAAGGTCTAGCACGTAATTGTTGAATCGCGGCTCATTCAATCCAATGAGTTTCACTTATTGCTGGAATTTAATTCAAGACATGAATATGATTTGCCGACAGAAATAAACCTCTTGGCAATGATTCACACTAGTCAGTTGTCGAAACAAGAATGACGATTTTTTCTATGAAAATCAGAATTTCTATCAAAGGGTTGATATTTAATAAAAATCAAACCTCTATGTCATCATCAGACTTTACATGAAAACAAAACAGAATGTGCATTGTTGAGCATGAGCGAGTCGTTCTAGTAGTGAAGGAGAGAAAATTGAAAATCATACATGATTATCAGAACCACTGCGATAAGTTTTTTCGACAAAGTCAACATTAATAAAAGTGCAATTCCAATCAATCGTTAAGGACAACATACGAAAACCACTAGCAAATGTTGCCAGATGATTTGAATAGCATTGCACTTGAGAATAGCTATGGTCAATAGACCAACGATTAAACCATCAGTTTGCCATTGATTATTTTCATCTGAATACTAACAACCGGATGTATAAGTTCTCATTTGATAGTCTGCGGTAAAATTGAAGTTGTCATTTGTTATCGGGAGAGTATGCGGAATTCAATGGGCGTAAACCGAAGATAATTGATTGAACTATTTCATTGTGACGTTTGATTAAATCGGTAAAGGAATAAATCAGAAATATGTCGATTGAATGGTTCAATTTTCCAGTAAATGAAAATCGTTGGATTCTGTCATTGCTGTAATCTGCCACATATAAATGCAAATCTGTGTCAACAAAGATTTCGAGAGGAGAATTCAATTCATCCAAATCGAAACTATTGTCACCTGTACCGGCCACAGTCGTCATTTCCATGTGATGGTCTAACCGCGTTTTCACAACTGTATGCCGATCAGATAACGAACAATATAATTCATTATTGATATCGATGAAAATGTCATCACATTTTGTTTGAACGTGCGTGATATGAACAAAACGCTTCTCATTTGGTATCCATTTAACAATTCATTTTTCAAATAAGCTCATGTTTTCTAGGAATTGTTGCTGGATGGATAGTGTTCTCATTCTAAACTAGAACTTCATCTCTGGAATAAGCATAAGCGTAAATTTTATTATTAGTATCAACGAATATATCACCAACAACGTTCTTTCCAAGCAGACTTGCATTGGCACACATGGTTGCTGTTTGATTCCATTGAACTACGTATATCGGGCAGATAGTGACAATATCATCTTTGAATCAAGCGATGAATACTTCTCAATAGATATACTCATCTGATTCTTCTTTTCGTTATTCAGTAGTGTATATAGATTTTAATGAATGAGATGATGGATGCGAACATATATTCTCTGTTATGCCCAATGACGTTCTCAATACACACAAATATTTGTGACACGTAAGAAAACGGATGATGTACTTGGGGAAATGATTTCATCTTGCACGTCAGTACTACTAGCTGAATATCAGTAAAGTTTCTTTTCTAATATATCATAGACCATGCGATCACCTTGAGGAAAGAGTGTGATTTATCTAAATGACACTCATTCGCATTCTCTCGTATCTGTAATTTAATGCACGAGCTGATACTTTTTCACAATAGTTTATTCAGTTTCAAGATCGAAGCTGATTGATTTTTAACCAATCGATACTATTGAATATGATTTGAGTCTTTCTTACAAAAAAAGAGTGAATAGAACATTCGCAGTGACATGAACTATTTTGTGTAATCCATCTGGGAAATAATAATATGAAGCTGACCGAGCAGAAATATTCAAAAAGATCACTTGCTTTTTTTTCCTTTCCTTCTCTGGATCATTTCTTTCGCACTCGTGTACATTTACTGTTCGGGGAAATCGCGTTTTTATTAAGTTCGAACAAACGTCTTTTCCCGCGAGAATATCTGCCCTGATTTTTCAATCAAACAGCCATAGAAATCGCGTCTTTGCATTTGAGATTGAGCTACAGTTGCTTTGAACGTCTATTACGTTAGTATATAAGTCATAGTATCAACTTGTTTCTATTCAACAAAATGAAATTCACGTTGATAATTTACTTCCTCTAGCCTCATTTCAGTGCTTATCAAAGAATTCGATTTTCTAGACTTCAAACACAAACAATGAGTAAAAAGGGTAAGCAGTTCTTTCCTTCTGCTGGTGATGAATGAAAGATCTCTTTATGTACGATATAGCATCCAATCCATGGACTTCGTTTATTTCCAGTACATTTTTCACCTACTCAACTGTTAAAATGGTTGAAGTGCCCAATTCAGCCATTGCTTTGTTGAATCGCGTCATTCAATTGGTTATCTGCGGCTATATTGCTCTGTAAGTGTTCGAATTTAATCGAAATCTAGGTCATTGTTTATCGTTATAGTTACATCGTTTGGTATCAACGCGGATATCAAGAATTTCAAGAACCACGTGGAACGAGCGTAGCGAAAGTCAAAGGCGTTTCGTCAGTCAGTGTCAAAGTTCCGTCCAGTCCATCTAGTAGGATAGACAATTGGATAATCCTGAAAATGTACATTATTTGCTTGAATTTCAGCGAACTATTCACGCGTTGTTTGGGATACAACTGAATATGGCCTTCCACCTCTCGTATGCACACATTTTTCTTCAATAGAACAATCGATTTTAATGTAATGGTTTGGTTTGTTTAGGAAAATAATGCATTTTTTATTGCCACTCATCAAATTGTAACTTATGATCAGAGTGACAGTCGATGTCCGAGTGTAAGAAATGAATTAATGAATAATTTTATGACTCCTGTCGTTCTATTAGGCACTGAAATCGAAACTTTTTTGTGCTAACAAGACTAGCATTTGTAAAGAGGGAAAACCAACGCCGAGCACATCCGGTAAAGTGTTTCGGTGAATGCAAGAATGAGAAATATCGAGAAATTTCTAGGTTTTTTCACGGGTAAATGTGTAGCAAGTTTCGAAAATTCATCGATTAGTGTTTGTGAAATCAGTGGTTGGTGTCCTGAAGAAATGAGTGCATCGACGTAAGATACTTCTGCTTCGAGTGCAATTACTTATCTATTTCGTTTTCCTTTATGTAGAGATCTTCAAATTAGTCTGCACGATCTGAGCAATTTTACGATTTTCATTAAAACATCTGTTACATTTCAACGCTTTAATATTAATCTGTTCGTCTTCCGATGTTGACTCTTAATTCTCGGAGGAATTCTTTCTTTTTTTCTAGAAGAAATATTGGAGACAACACCAATTTTTCTTGCCGCTATCACCCTGTTGCAGATCAGCGTTGTCCCATTATCCGTGTTGGTGACATACTCGAGGGTTTCCACACAGACATTCCAGCTCTGATCAAAGAAGGTGGTGTGATCGAAATCGAACAGCAATGGGAGTGTAATTTTGACTATGACAAACGTCTCTGTTATCCGCGATATCTATTTCATCTCTTACAAAGCGGCGACGATAAACAATCGCCTGGTATTAATTATCGGTAAGTCAAATCGATTTGACAACGGACGAGTCTTAGAACATTTGGTATGTTTAGTACAGCATATAAATATCGTTTTGATAATACGACCTATCGACTTCTATCGAAAGTTCATGGTCTTCGGTTTGTCATATCGATTTCTGGCAGAGGAGGACGATTCCATGCACTTCAATTATTTCTCGCCATTGGTAAGATCGAATTGTTTTGCAAGTGATCATAGTCTCGCGTGTGCTCGTATCGTATTTGAAGGATCTGGTATTGGTTACATGGTCATCGCTGGATTAGTTTGCGATTTTATCATGGTACACGTGCATAAATCTCGTAATACATTTCGGGCAGGCAAAGTCAGCTTGGTTCGACCTACAGAAACGACATCATCTTGAAGTTGTGTTTAGTAACTTCATATGTAGTTATTTATTTTTTTATTGGGACGCTTAATCTACTGCGAAGAAAAAAATATGTTTGGAAAAAAAGTTGACATTCGAATTTCTCTCTATCTCTCGTCAGCATTGTACGCGTTGACATGGTATTTGTTCTTGGAATAACGAGAACGTTTCGACTGCGAGATATGAAATCACCGAACCTATCAGCGCGCCCAATTGCACCTGCGCTCCAAACCAAAACATACCATTTGGTGAATGAGTACGAACATAATTAGCAATGACCAGACGAGGATAGCCAAGGAATATGTAAGGACTTAACCAAATGATCAGAACGAGCACACTCCCGACACTTGTGTTCATCAAGGGCACACATGGACTTTTGACTGCTATGATCAAGTCAAAACTGAATATAATCGATCCAACTATAATCAGAATTAACAAATATCGTTTGGCAATCAGTGGTTTGACTGTGCCCAGGAACCAGACGAGTGCAAACATCCATGGTGAAAGGATTGTACCCAAATAAAAGATTCTATGACCGTACGGCATAAGAACGTAGGCCGAAATTGAGAAAACTATTCCATACAAAATTGAACTTGTATACAAAGCTCCGATTAGGAGTAAAATGTAGAGCTTCGGGCTGAGTTTACGTAGTGTTGGTTCAGGGATAGGGTGTACTTCAGTCACCATCGGTTCAGTTGTCGCGTCTTGGTTGCGAACAGTC